TTCCCAGACCCGGGATCACTTTATGCGGCRTATGATTTAAGGGTGAGTGAGCGTGCCAAAGCGCTCCACTTGAGCTGAGTGATGGGGAATGAGTTGTGGAGCTGTGGTCTTAGATGGTATTTTGTGAAAAATAGTGGGAGATTTATGGCTATTAAACAACTTTGTAGCTGCCCCCTTATTGTTTTGAAGCCTGCCAAATCTCTCCTCCCATGATCTATATCATGTTCCTTCAGCACATCCATGATGTCCACACAACATCCTCTGGACTGCAGTGTTCATCGTGTGCACCCGTTTGGAAGGGCTGGGAAGGGCTTGGAATTGCATGCATTTATCTGAAGACATTTGTTTTCTGTAATCGCCGGTGACATGCTTACTTTGCAAGTCTCTCTTGGAGCATCCTGTGTTTTCACAGAATCCTTCCCAGTGAGGTTGCCAAAAGTTCTCCCGTCCTTCCTGCATTATGGAAATTGCAGAGCGCAGTCTATTAGGGACTATTACTATTATTGATGTGAGACTAAAGAAAGTATTAGTAACTCTTCAATTCAGTGTATATCTTCCACTGTGAACAGGAGAAGAATGAAGACGCTGTCAGTACGCCTTGACAGATCTTCAGCAGGAGGGCTTGTGAGGCAGGAGGGCTWCTTCAAGCCTGGCACCGAGGGGACACACATTTACCATCCTCAGCTTTGTTCCATCTTATATGTCACAATCAGCAGCTCAAGGAGAAGCAGAAATAGGGTATTTCGTCTAAAATATCCAACCAGAGATCCCAATCATAGATTAGTCTATGTTACACAACTACTAGACAATGGTTGGAGGAAATATGCTGTCAGTATGGGTTCGTGTTACCATAGGAATGCATGCATCCGAGGAAAAATGGAGTTATTGTGTTTTCAAATTTCATATTTCAAGGAATTTTGAAAACATAGGGAAGATTAAAAATTATGAGCTCACAAGTATAAGCTAAAGCAATGGGCACGTTGTGAACAAAACTCAAGAAAGATGAGAAAAACTTGCTGTGGAAGAAGATCTAGGTGAAGGTCATCTAGGTAATGGTATCTGGTACCTGGGGAAGTAGTAATGTCATCTTAATACAAAGAGACTTCTCTTCATGCTGTTAAATTAAATGAGAAACTTAATAGAGTTTTTTTTAATGAACACACATAGCTACCATATCAAATTTGTAGTTTCTAACATTTTGATGTCATTGTTTCAAGAATATTCTTTAAATGAATAAAACCAGAAACCATCATATATAGAAATGAAACTCCTCCACATCCCATTAGCCCCAGTCCTGTTACCCTKCCCAATCATTTACATGAATTTAGTGTCTATGTTGTATAATTTGGGGATGTTTTCATACATGTACAAAATCAAAGAACTTCATATTTACATAAATAATATTATACTGAATTTATCATTTGGAAACTTAAAATTATGTAAGATATACTTGATAAATAATGACTGATGCTTTTTTACTCTTTATAAATTTTGCATTTTTATTCTTTATAAATTTTAGACCTCTTCAAAATGAGATTATATATTTCAATATAGATATATCAAGTTATTGCTCTTAAGTGGTAAATATTATTCTGCCATATGAATATACAACATTTTATCTATCCTTTTTCCTTATTGACATTTAAGTTATTTCCACTTTTTTTCCCTGTTACCAATGATGCTTCAGTAAACATTATAAACTTGCAGACCTGTGTGAAATTTTCCATAGTGTATGTTAAGTGGAATCAGTGCACCAATTTTCTTTTTATTAGATGCAGCTAAACTACCCTCCAAAGTAGTGAACCAGGGTACATTCCTACTGGCAAGGGATGAGAGGGACAGTTTCATTTTCTTTCATTCTCACTAGCACTTGTTATTATGGGACTTAAAACTTGGCCAATAGGATCAGTGGAAAAACTGTATCCTGTTTTAATTCTCATTGCCTTTAGTGCTGGCAAATTTGATCAAATTCTATGTTTATTATCTGGTCAGGTTTTCTCTTCTTTGAAATCCCTGACATTTCCTTTGTCCATTTTTTCCCCTATTTTTATTGGCTTAGGGACATTCTTTATGTATCCTGGATACTAGTATTTTACTGTAGATGTGGCAAATATCTTCTAACAGGAGATAAAAGTAAAATGTAAAAATACAAATCCCTGCCAGTAGGCAGTTAGGAAAATTGGCAAGGATTCAAAGATTTGAGAACCTTTATAGTCCTGAAGATTCARAGCTACCCAAATTTTCTTATTCCCATTTTAGGCATCTCTTCTTGGTCCAGGTAAAAGAAAATATCATGTCAATTTTTCTACTTATGTTTTTATTATCTCAATATACTGTGGGTATACTGCTTCCGTTGCAAAGTCAACTCTTTATGCTTTGGCAGACAGTGTGCAAATTTAAGACACGTTCTTGTCCACTTCTTTCATATGATAATTTTGCCTTTTTGAATCGTGCTTCTAAGCATAAGATTCAGAAAACCAGTGTGAACATCACTATTGAAATGAGTGAATAGGATTCATTTTGATAAAAGCCAGGTCAAAGAGTTGGTGGTTGGAACTGATTTGTAGTTGTTTTTCTAAACATTGAGTCATGAAAGTTCCACCAGAAAGCATCGCTTGCAGAATTATTCTTTTCCTGAATTCTTTTCCATGACTTGAGCTTATAAATGGACACTAAGCCGAAGAGGAATTAAGTGCTGGGCATAGAATGATGACCACACAACCCAAGCCACACCATTTCTGACCTGTTGACAATTGGAAATAAAACTAAATAGCTCTGTTTTTTTCCTCTTGGTCACAGAATTCTAATGTTTTGCACAGTCCAAGGTATTTATTTAGAGGTAGGATTTCCTCCACTAATTTTAGGAAAAGCTGTCATCAAGTTGTCAACAGCCCACATAGAGATTAAAAGTATTAAAGAATACCATAAAAGGGCAACTTAAAATTTATTTTGGATATTAGGATTTTTTTTTTCCTTTCAATAATGAGGTAGAGCATGGACAAAAAGTTAGAGCCTGTTATAGAGGAAGTATGTATATCTAGGTAAGGATGGTCTCCATTCCAGGACCCCGTATATCCTGCCCCAAGCATTAAATAAGTACCATAGTATTTAGAGCATGTCATTGTATTTCATTAATCATGTTGCAATTACAGAAGATCTGGAATCCCAGAGACAAGTGGTGATTACAGTATTTTAACTTTAATTTTAATCCCATTTCTGACCCTTTCACATTCTTGCAACATCCTAAGTGTCTAGTGATGTAGTATATAACAAATCTTATACACTTTTTAAAACATTATTGTTGGTAACTGAGATTTTGCCTTTCTGGATCCAACACCCTTGGATCAAGCTTTAAACACCATATATTTGCCTTATATTTGTCTTTGAGCTGGTGTGAAGAAATGTTGCCTAAAGCTGTTCCTACCCAGGGACATAGCTTCTGGTTTCACTCCATTCAGAACTCTTTCTATAAGTCTCTACCGAAAGCTGCTTAATCAAACATCTCAAATGTCAGAAATGAAGTTTAAAGGATTTTTCTAGCAAGTAGGTATAATCTCCTACTTAGTTTTGATTCCCATAATGTAGGTAATCTCTTTGGAGAAAAGACCTGCTTCTTGCAGGGCAAATATATCCCATAGAATGCATTTCCTATTCCGGAAAGGAAAATACAGCATTAATGAAATTTACTTTTTCATGGAGCTTGGAAAGGTTGTAAGCTTAGGATTTTGATTCTAGCAGATGTTCTTTTTTGGATATTAAGGAAAAAAAGTTGCATTTGATTTAGAAATCTCAGTTAAGAGTTGCAATGGTTGTTGGTTGTTATAGGCAGCTATATTCTGAAGGTGACACACTGGTCATCTGAAGTATATGACAGCCAATCCCACAGCTAACTGTCTTCATACTTTAACCCACAAGGATGTGGCGTTCAAAAGGGAGAGAGTTAATAGTCAGGACCATACTATATCAGTTCTATGGTCAAGGAGCTATTATATACAATACAAAGCATCATTCAAGACACACTTCAGGTCATTTTCTTTTAGGCTTTAGAATAACAATATTTTGTTGATAACTATTATATAAGTTGAACATCCCTAACCCCCAAATTCAAAATCAAACACATTTCCAAATCCAAAACTTTTTTTTAGTACTGACATGACATCACAAGTTGAAAATTCCACACCTGACCTCCRGTGATAAGTTGCAGTCAAAATGTAGGCATATTTAAAATGTTGTATAAAATTATCTTCAATGTGTGCATAGGGTATATAGGAAACATAAATGAATTTTGTGTTCCGACTTGGATCTCATTGCCAACATATCTCATTGTATATATACAAATATTCAAAAATATTTTAAAAAATCAGAAATCCAAAATATTCTAGTCCAAAGCATTTTGGATAGGTTATGCTGAACCTATATCCCAAACCCAGGTCTCAGATGGATTTCTCAGTGCTGTCATTAAACTTAGCCAGAAGCCAAGTTGCACAGCCTGTAACAATTTATGTCCTTCCCTATGGTGATTTCATGCTGCAGAGTTTTATATCTTCCACTTCCTCTGCCTCCATGCCACGGGGCCATGTATACCAGCCCTGCTTTTCCTCGTCCACCCTGGGGGCAAACTTAGCCTCTGCACTGGTTTCCATAGAAATCTGCTCACCGACTGCACTTGCTTTGTGGGAATTACTGGGAGAAGACCTGTGATAAAAAGATCTAAGTCTACTATTTCCTGCCTTCAGCCTCTCCTTTTCCTCCTCTTCCTCCTTTCAGTTCATCCCAACCAAGAAACCAGCCTCTTGTCATGGTGTCATTTCACCAGTGCTGAGGCCCTCTAAGCTTTGTACCCTACCCTATACTTACAGAATTGTATGTCAACAAAGACCACTCTTGCTTCCTAAGAAGAGTCTCTGTGGATAAATTCAGATCCCAAGGGACATGTTTGGTTAACAAGGGGATTTCGCATGGGATGTTGCTTCCTATTGACATTTATTTTTATCATGCAGGCTTCCAGTGGGGACCTTGCTGCCTCTGCCTCTCCTGAGATGCACCACTACACACCCCTGCCTTCTGCTTCCAGAGAACTCACCAGTCACAGAGGTGGGACCTCAATTTTTTATTACTCTCAGAGGTTGTGGGGAGGGACACTTGGCTTTGAGGTGCTCTGGGCTCTTGGCACTTCAGGAAGAACACAGTGCTTTTCAAGTCCTTGATGGGAAAACCATACCTGTCAAACTGAATGATTTTAAACCATACTTACCAGAATTTAGTAGCAGTCTACTGGGGAGACATATAAATATCCACAGTATAATTTTTTGATTTTTTTTTTACTTCACATAAAGAGGTTATAGTATTTAAAAATTACCAAGGAGATCATTACTTCCAGCACTAGCAAAAGAGGGAAATTGGGAAATTCATTAATATTTGTAAAAAAAAAAATTCATTGTTTGCTAATTCAATAGTTGAAATCTATAATTTCAAAATAGATAAATTCTCTGTTATAGCCCAAAGGAATTTAAATTTTTAAATTTACCTGGTAAAAATAATGGAGAGAATCCAGGCTGGGGTTGTAGCCAGTGGTAAAGTGCTTGCCTGGCATGAGTGAGGCACTGGGTTCGATTCTCAGCACCACATATAAATAAATAAATATATATATCCATCGACACCTAAAAAAAAAAAAATATATATATATATATATATATATATATATATATATATATATTTAAAAAATAATGGTGAGAATCTATGTGTAGTTTTTACTGAAATCTCTAATGCCCAAAACATTAATTTGGTGTACCCTGTTCTTCCAAAGCCATAATTCATATTGCCATCGGTAGAATCTTAGGTTTCAAAAGCAGACAGAATACTGACTTGGAATATCATTTGCAAATGCCAGTTTATCCCTAAACTGGCAATTTGGGCCAAAGACTGTGTCATTGCCTAAGCTGAGAATGGTAAGGGTAAGACAAGACCATGCAATGTAACTCAATTACTTCATTTTATCCTGATAATGATTAGAGCTGTGTTTCCTAATAATGAATCTGTCTCCTGAGGGTAAGTAAGAAGAAGCTTAGATTGAGAGCAGCACAGACTTTAAATGTTGTTTCCCCAGGCAGGAAATTCCCTTCTGCAGAATGGGACTGTCCCAACTTTGTCATCCTAGCTACATTGCATGGGTGGATAGGAGAATAGGCTGTGGGGATGCTTAGAAAGTGGTGGATCTAGCCCTAGAGATGTCTCATGGGCCCTCTGCACTGTGACGTTAATATTCCATTGAAAAACTACCAGAAAGATGAAGAAAATAATGTAGGATTCCAGGCATGGACTTTTTGGGGTGTGAGCATTGGTAAAACTTCTCTATATTTACATATACTTTGGTTCAATTAGAGTTCAGTTGTGATTCGCTTTATTATGTGTCAGTTTTGTGCAAATCACTTTTGCTCAAAGTCAAATGTGCTGCATTCTGAGGAGCATTGTTGTTCTTTCTTACTGAATGTCCTTAGGAAGGTCTTTTATTCCTGTACAGACTGTTATGTGGGAATTCCTCTAAGCAAATAATATTATGGAGAATGAGTAATAAATTAACTCTCAAATTAGCATTTTATCCTCTTAAGTTTATTCACTACTTTCTTGTAGGTGGTTAAAGGTAATTTTACTCCATCACCTATAGAGGAACTTGTATAGGAACTTTCATGGCAACTGAAGTCTGAGACCTCAAGCCCCCTTGCAAAAGTGTATCTGGCATGAAATTGAGATTTCACAATGAAACATGTGATCAGATGAATGATAATCATTAGCAATAGGACAAGCATCATCTGTCATTTTATTAGTAATATGAGAAATCTGAGCCTCAAAGAAATAGAACAGAAGACCATAGTTTTGAAGGTATTTTGAGTAAAACTCATATAATGAAAAAAGACCTCTTGAAGTAATTAGAATGTGAATCGATGCTCTCAGATGACATCAGAGCCCAATATCAATGGGAAAAAATGTAAAAATATTATTTAAAGGATGTCAACAGCAGACATCTCTGTGGTACTGAGGAATATCTCTCTATATTTAACACACGGGTTGCCTGGTGAAGAGAGCACCAAAGAAACTCACTGAGTCTGGTTTATGGTTGGACTCATCTCTCTAGTACATTTCATCTTGGCATGAATCAAACACCAACAAATGAGGAAAGCCAGTAATTTTTTTTTTTTTTTTTTTTTTTTTTTGGCAATCACAGTGAAAAACTACTTAATGCCAGGTTGGTTTTTGTATTTAAGGAAACTATATTAAATTACTGACTGTACAAATTAGCCAACTATTTGGGTGCCATTTATTCCTACCTTGTTGACATCCTACAAACACTTAGGCAGAGAAGGTCTTTCACAGTTTGGAGGCTAATTGCATCAATCCCCCAGGTTAAGTCCTCCTTGATGTCTGAAACTAGATCTATAAAATCCCAACTGGAACTTCTATTTGAAAATAATTTTTGATTCACCTAGTTCCCAATCTCTTTTCCTTCCGCACCAACAACTACAAAACTGTAGTTCATGTGCAAATTGCTATTTTTCTATACACATGGCATTTTCCCTTGTCCTTTGATGTAACTTCCAATGTCGAATATGATAGGCCCAAGATTCATGTCCTAAGGACTGTAGATTCAAATGCAAAAGAAGACCAGGCCTAGAATAATGATCAGCAAGCAGGAGGCTCCGTTTTTTCCATTTGTATCTTACAGACACTCCATACATCATAGGCACAGTCATGTGCAGCACTCTCTGGTTCCTACATGAAACTTTTCCTGATCTGAGCTTTATTGGTTTTTCTCCTTCTTGAGATTAYTTATAATATTTGTTTCTACCTCCTTGAAGCAATTGTTCCCATTCTGCTTTGCAGGAAGGGTTTGGGTTTGTATGTCTTAAACTCCTCATAGGTGAAAGCCCCTCAGAAGCAGTACTAAGTCTAACTTTTCTTCCCATCATTCTTGAGGTGTCAGTTTAGATATCACAGCTCCAAGGGATACTCTTCTGATCCCACCTTATACATTAACATTATATCAGTCTTTCTTATCCAGGGACAGGCTTCCTAGATAAACTATAAGCTTTTAAGAGTAATGGAGAAGATTCTGTTTGCTCACAGCTGTATCTGCATTGTATGACATAGGGTCTGCTATTTACTCTGAGCTCAATATATATATATATTTTTCTATGGTTGGGATAAGGGCTCTCCAAAGAAGGATGTGTTAAAGGCCTAGTCCTTAATCCATTGCCATGGGACCTGGTGGAATCTTTAAAAGGTAAGGTCTACTGGGAGGTCTTCAAGTCATTGAGAACATGCCCTTGAAGGGATATTGGAACCCTAGCCTCTCCTCTTCCTCTGTTTCACTTGTGGTCATGAGGTTGGAGCTTTCTCTGCTGTGTGCTCCCACCCTGACATGCTGTCTCATCACAGTCCCCAAAGCAACAAGTCAGCTCAACTATGGGCTAAAATTATCACAACTATCAGCTAACATATACCTTTTCTCTTTATAACTTGTTTTTCTCTGATATTTATTATGGTAACAGAAAGGGGATTAACACAATATTTGTTCAGTAAAAAAAAAAATACAGTCATAGAAACCCAGCAGAAGAGTCTGAATCTTAGATACCTCTATGAGGCAACTTGATTGCATGTTAAAAAAAAAAAAAAGCCCCATCTTCTTTAAGGGTGGGCACAATAAATGGAAGAGCCAGCCTCTTATACTTCAGTTGACAACTCTGTTGCTTTCAGAAACTCAAATTTGCAAGGATGGGAGTTATTTCTACTGATTCATTTCCAGAGAACAGATAGCCACAAAGCATAATTTCCAAGTAGATGATGATTATAATGTTGTAGCTTTTTTAACTTTGGTGTTTTTGTGGTATAAAATAGGATAAAGCAATGGATGCTTTTGAAGAAGGGGCTGGACTCTCATAAAGCTGTAGCTAATGGTGCACACATGGATTTAGAATGGTTTACCTGAAATCTCTCTGGGAATGCTGGTCCAGGCTTGAGCATTTCCTTTGGAGGGTAGAAGACATGGAGTTGTGTCAGAGATCTCTGTGGTAACCTAGTGGCAATTTATATATAATATCTTCAGTGGATGTCATGCTATAAAGAATATTGACATATTTGTTGGAGAAATGTCTTTTTCACATAAATATGTTATGTGGACAGGAGATAGCCCTATCATGCCAGACACTGCCACTCTGTTTAACTGCTGTAAGTAGAATTCACATTTATGGATCATTGTGTCTTTGGAGGAAACATTTTTATTTAGAGATTAGATCATATCATTCTTAAGATACCCTTAAAAATGGGGAGGGCAAATACTCTGTTCCCATTGAACAGAAGAATACACCAAGAACTGCTGGGCGTCATCAGAGCCACTCAGCAATAGAGACAAGGGGCTAAAATAAATTCAAGTCTGTGTCCTTGATTCCTAGGTCACCCCTGACATTCATCACCCAGGATATATGAATCAAGGCAGGTGGGGATAACTGTGGCATTGTGCTAGAGTGAAAAGAAAAAAAACTACTTGGAGAGGCAAAACTTGGAAATGTCTATTGCTAGGGGTGAATTTCTAAAGACTGTACTAAGGCATCCTCACCAGTACCCAGGCCAGTGATTCTCAAGAGCTTGCTAGAAAGTCTCACTGGCACTCAAGAAGCACCCGGAAGTCTCTAACTGACTTTCTCCAGCTGAAGCATCTGTGCCAGGGGTTTACTCTCCGGGGGTCACTTGGAAATGGCTTTACACATAGCAACTGTTCACACATTGCTCTGCCCACTCCTTCTATCCAGATTTCTAAATCCTCCCCCAGGGCCTCTTTTTGGAGGACTCCAAAACTAGGGAATCCTTGTAGTTTCTAGTTCCTCCTCTGGGCTTTGGAAAGACCTTGGAGAAGAATGGTGGTGATGTTCTAACAAACAACCTGCTAGTACACCTACCATAACCCCACCTCACCAACAGTTACCACACTGAARATCCCAGGTCAGTTTTTCTGCCTTCACATTTTGAAAATTGATTCCAAGCCTCGTGAATATCCCTGGATTTCTTTTTTTGATGCTTATATGGTCCTAAAGATGTGCCGG